GGATTAGTTAAGATGACATCTGATTTATCATTTTTTTTGGTTTCAGGTGTACAAAGCAATGTAATAATTAGACATTTACACTTCTCACAACGTGAAACCCCCCCCCCCAGTCTACTACTCCTCTGGCATCGAATATAGCTGTTACAATACCATTCATTGTATTCCCTATGTTGTACTCCATATCCCATAAATATATATATATATAGTTGACATTCAATATTATTCAACTTCAGCTTCAGGTGTAGTGCAGTGGTCAGACATCTATACAGTCTATGAAGTGGTCTCTCTAATAAGTCCAGTGCCCATCTGCATCTGGGACCCTATATAATCTTTACATTATTGATTATATTCCCCAAACTGTATTTCATGTCCCCGTGGCTATATCGTGACTACTAATTCGTACTTTCTAATCCCTTTATCTTCTCCCCCTCCCATCTAGCAACCATCAGGTTTTTTTTTCAGTATCTCTGTGTCTGTTTGTTTGCTCGTTTATTCTGTTCTTTAGATTCCACATCTAAGTGAGATCATATGGTGTTTGTCTTTCTCCATCTGACTTATTTCACTTAGCACAATATTCTCTAGGTCCATCCATGTCATTGCAAATGGTAAGATTTCATTCTTTTTTATGGCAAAGTAATACTCTGTTGTATAAGTGTACCACAGTTTCTTTATCCAATCACCTATCGATGGGCATTTTGGTTGTTTCCATATCTTGGCTATTGTGAATAGCGCTGCGATAAACGTAGGGGTGCATATAGTTTTTTTAAAGACTTTTATTGGGGAACTGGGGGGATGGGAACAGTGCTGGGGAATTGGGGGAAGGGGAACAGACAAGTTGCCGTCGTTTTGTTCTTCAGTCTAGTTGCGGAGGACATTGCTTCACTGGCCCAAGTTGGCACCATCGCCGCACTCCTCCCGGGCGAGGCACATCTGTTGTCGGTTTCTGGATGGCCGCTCACTGAGGCTGCTGGCCGCTCACGCTGGCTGCTGGCTACACACAGCAGCCCACGGCAACCCACTGCCACAGGGGCTGCAGCCTACGCCGTCACCGGCGACTCAGGTCAGCCCAGCTCCAGGTTGAGCTGTTGTTCAGCATCTTAGCTGTGCAGGGCAGTGCCACTGGCCCTCACATGTGGGATCCGAACCGGGGCCCTCTGGCATCCCAAGCCAGCTCCCAACCATTGCGCCACTCGGCCGGCCCCATATAGTTTTTTTAATTTAGTGTTTTGGATTTCTTTGGATAGATACCCAGGAGTGGAATTGCTGGGTCATAAGGTAGTTCCATTTTCTATTTTTTGAGGTACTTCCATACTGTTTTCCATAGTGGCTGCACCAATCTGCAATCCCACCAACAGTGCACAAGGGTTCCCTTTTCCCCACAACCTCGTCAGCACTTGTTGTTTGTTGATTTATTGATGATAGCCATTCTGTCAGGAGTAGGGTGGTATCTCATTGTGGTTTTTATTTTCTTTTCTCTAATGATTAGTGACATTGAGCTGACATTATCTTTGGGGTCTAATATATTTAAACTATTTTTAGTATACCATTCAATTTTAAAGGATGCATATTATTAATTTCCAACTTGGTAGATTATCACAAAATAAACACACCCATATCAATACTACCAGGTCAAGAAATAGAAATTAACCTCACTCCCTCTAAATTATACCCCCTTACTCATCCCCAAAACTTGCTAATAACTCTGTTGACTTGTAACCCTGATTACAAAGGTTACAAATCACCTGTTTCAGTTTTTTGGACCTTTATATAAATGAAAGAATATAGAATTGGCTTTTCTTTACATTATGGTTGTGAGGTTCAACAATGTAATTATTTGTAGTTCATTCATTGTTGTTACTGTATAATCTTCCACTGAATGAATGTGATACTATTTGTTGATTGGCCCCTTGAAAAGCATGTAGGTTTTTTGCAGTTTGGGCCTATTAAAAATAGTGCTTCCATGTATGTTTTTCTACAAGTTGTTTGGTAAACATATATAAACATTTTTTTGGATGTATACCTGGAAGCAGATTGTTCATGGAACTGCTTAGTCAAACTTTTTATTCTGTTCTCTGTAGAGGTTTTGCCCATCTTTTATGAGATTTTTTTCCCCTAGATGGCTTCTTTTTATGCTATTATATATGTCATAATATAAAATTTTAATTTTTAACTGCTTCTGACATATAGAAAAATAATTCATTTGTGTATGTTGGTCTTATAACCAAACTCTTTTATTTTTATTTTTTAAAAGATTTTTATTGGGGAATTGGGGGGATGGGAACAATGCTGGGGAATTGGGGGAAGGAGAACAGACAAGTTGCTGTCATTTTGTTCTTCAGTCTAGTGGTGGAGGACGTTGCTTCACTGGCCCAAGTTGGCACCATCATTGTGCTCTTCCCAGGTGAGGCACATCAGTCACTGGCTTCTGGACGGCCGCTCACTGCGACTGCTGGCCGCTCACACTGGCTGCTGGCTACACACAATAGCCTATGGCAACCCACTGCCACAGGGGCTGCAGCCTACGCCGTTGCAGGCGACTCAGGTCAGCCCAGCTCCAGGTCGAGCTGTTGTTCAGCATCTTAGCTGCGGAGGGCAGTGTCACTGGCCCTCATATGTGGGATCCGAACCGGGGCCCTCTGGCGTCCCAAGCCAGCTCTTAACCGTTGCGCCACTCAGCCGGCCCCCCTTTTATTTTTTAATAGTTTGCCAATAAATTTTTTTGTTTGAAATTTTACATACATAGTCATATCATCTACAAATGATGATAGTTTTATTCATTTCATAGCAGCCTTTTTACCCTGTAATTTTTTCCTTCCCTGGTGGGCCCTACAGTTTTATGTTGAAGAGAATGGTGAAGTGGATATTTTTGTATTCTCTATAGAAGAGGGACAACTCTCCATGTTTCATGAATACATAGGAAGCTTTCTGCCTTTTTTTGTAGATTTTTTTCATCAGAGTAACTAGGCTTTTTTTATTCCTTATTTGCTAAGACATTCTGTATTGGGAATATGTTGACATTTATAAAATGCTTTTTCTTTACCTATTCAGATAATCTTATGATGATTCTCTCTCTTTCAGTGTATGTGATTAAAAAAAAACATCGATTAATGTTGAAATGTTAAACCACCCTTGTGTTTCTGCAAACAATGCAATGTGCTTGTGATCATATGTATATGACACTGGGTTTGATTCACTCATATTGTGTTTGGGATACATGCTCTGATTGCGTCCCACAATTAATCTTCCAGTTCTCACTCCATTTCCTCCACCTTCTTTGAATAAGTCAGCCCTGACTGTGGCAGTATCCTCCCCACTTCCTGTAACCCAATTTGAACCCGATGTGACGTGCTGTATTGGGATTTCTGAAGGCGCTTTCATGTCCCATAAGATTAACTAGCAGTGCTATTGCAGAGTAGGGCTTGGGAACAAGAGTTCTCTTTTAAACACATACACTAACACACCCCATGGGTCACTTTCAGACATGGACACCATGGAGGAATTCCAAGGAGGAACTTGGAAACAAATTGCTGAGTTTTGTTATCTACTTTGAACAGAGGCAACAAATTCCTAATGTTCTGAAATTAATAATTGGTCATTTCTACAGCAATGTTGTATTATTCTGGAGAACTTAGGTGAGAAATTGTCTTTAACCCTCAACTCAAATTAGAAACAGAGGAAACTATGGCAGAATGTGTGAGCATCAGCACAACACACTGAAGAGAATCTTGGGAAGGAACATGTGATTGGTGGATCAGAAATAACAAGCTGATGATATCAGATTATCACCTGATCGACAAACACATAAAACGCTGAAAGCCCATGCAGTTTTCTGAGACAGACCTACTTCGCTCAGTTTTATATTTGTAGTTCAGAGGAAACTGGAGAAGAAACCCTGCAGTACCTAAAAATAGATTTTTGTGACCTGTGATATCAGAATTGGCTCTTAAATGTTATGGCAGAAATGAAGAACGTGTACGCCAACATGCCAGAAATATCATGCTTGGGGGCCTACAGGGATGTCTAGAAAGAGCAAAACAAGAGCTGTAATACTGTCCTGGAAAGAAAGACTTTAAATAGAGACAAAAAGAAAAGGAGCAAAGCAAAACTATGCAAAGGCACATTAAAGAGAAGAAGTGGCTTACACGTTAGCAGAATTTACTCTAACCTGGTTGAAGATTTTGTAAAAATGGATGTGTATGTCTTAAATGGGGGTGGGGTAGTCAGCCATGGAAGCTTCGAGTCAGGAGAGATGCACATGCAGAGGTTGCACGGTATAGCCGAGCGGCTCACAGGGGACTGGGCATGGGTCTTCTAGTTCCTTAAGCAAGACCCTGTTTTTAACATGAATGCATGAGGTGGCCCTCAGTATTCCGTCTTTCTAACTTACCTCTTCTGATCCCTTGTTCAGAAAATAACCTTCTCATTGCTATTTGAGTTCTCTTTAGACATGCATGCGTCAGCAACTGGCCCCAAAGACTTAGGAAAACTTCAGTATTACACTTAATGTTATAATTAATAAATTGCCATATTAGTTTTATAGACTTGGATAACGTTTTTATGCCCTAAGATGTGGGCTCACCCTTTCTATGTAAATAAAATCACCATTTAAATCTCCAAGAATGAAGTTCAGCTCTGGTATGTGTGTTAAGGTAATGGAACAGTTTCCTTTTATCTGCAGGTTGAATGGATAACTTATTTCTTATGAGCCTGTGTTTTTCTTTTAAAATGTTACACTTTTGCATACTTATGGACTTCAGAGAATGACAGCAATCAATCTATCAGTTGTACTGTTGGAACAAGACAGAGGCATTTAGGGACTTGAAATACACTCAGGAAAGGCAGAGATTCTTAGAGTCCTCTGATAAAATTTAGCTACTGAAGCCGAAAAATCCTCATACAACATCCCAATATTGCCAAGCGGTTGTTTAGCTGACATATGATGCCTACAATTATGTGAATTCCCACTCACCCTCGTGGTGGCCTATAGAGCTTGCTAACATCTCCAGTAAACAGGGCTTCCTTATGTTAGTATCCATCCCCACCACCCCGCCCCCCTGCCCGGGCCCCCTACATCTTTTGTTCTTTGGGATCACTGGTATTAGTCTCGATGGCATTGCTGAGTGATTTCTCCCCTCATGGGATGAACTGTCTCCTGATATTCTGTGCGGCAAAGTCACATTCATGTGCCTCTTATCTCGGGCATGTTTTCCACCTCATGGGGATGCACTTCTGACTGAGTACAGCATTTCCCTGGAAACTGCCTGAACTTTATCCTCCACGCCCCTGCCTGCCCTGCCACCAAGGCCCTGGTCACTGACCTTGCTAACCACATCTTCATTATTAAGATTAAGTTCAGAGCGCTGACCCTGTATATTCTAGATTGACTAGAGTCTGTTTTAGTGGAATAAAAGCTCCCTGAAATATATGGACATTTGTATTCATTCCTCATTACTTTTATCTGTGTCACTTTTGTAAGATGCTTCTAGTTGGCATCATCTGTTTTTGGTGTAAGATCCCTAAAATATAGTGAATGTATTTCTCTCTCATTTTATCTTCAGACTTATGTTCTGTGTTGTGGCAGTAAAAGACACTAGATCTTAGTTATGGGTGTTAGAGTCACACAGAACAGTACACTCATCCTTTAATTTCCTCAGAGGATTGGTTCCAGGACCCCCACAGATAACAAAACCTGCAGATGCTCAAGCCCCTTACCTAAAATGCCATAGTATTTATGTATAATCTATGCACATCTCCCCATATATTTTAAATCATCTCTCAATTACTTGCAATACCTAGCTCAATATAAATGCTATGTAAATACAGGCATACATCTCAAATGATGGAGGTACATTCTGAGAAATGTGTCATGGGCGATTTCATTGTTGTGTGAACATCAGATGTCCCCACGCCTGCACAGACAGCATGAACAAAGTAGCCATGGTGACAGGAAGAGGCTTTGTGTGCACCCACAGCACTGGCTCTCTCTCCCCATGGCGGCTTCTGCTGCATGTACTCTTGTCAGAATCCAAGAATGGTGTTGAGCCCTAATCAGTCATATCACTCATGACGATCTATGACCCCACACGGAGCCAAGTGTCCTACATGTGGCCCCTTCAACATGGAAGACAGCAGTTCTTCCTGACTAGGACTGCACGTTTGGTGAATGGAAGTGTCTTCCCTGTCTGCATTGCTATCCACCAGCTCACAGTATTATTGTCATAGGATACAGGGTAGCATCATTTCAGACCAAGGGTTCCACTTTATGATGAACAAAATCAGGAATAGGCACATGACCATGGTCTACTTGTCCTATAACATGACAGAGAAATTGTTGGCTTGATAAAAATAAATGTTATTAGTGCAGCAAAGACACCAACTTAGATGTGACAACCTGCAGGATTGATAGATGGCCTTCTGGATGTGGTATATGCCTTGATCCACTGGCCATTGTATATGGTTGACATACATGTAGGACCTTATATATCCACATGGGTTCAGAAAGTGATGTGCAGAAGCAGGAGTGACTCTTACATTAACCCCCAGTGACACGCAAGAATCTGTGCTTCCCATCCCGTCATGTCCTTAGACTCTCCTGGATGGAAGGTTTTACTCCTATGAAAGGCACATTTTTGTCAGGAGACATAAACTATTTTATAACTATCATCTAGTCAATGTGGACTCTTCAAACACAGTTACAATTCGGTGAGGGGTATTCATCATGACAAGGTAGAGAGCAGGGAGAAATACCTCTGGAATGCACGGATTCACTGGAGGGTCCCATGGTGTGTCCATGCCCAGTGACAACCGTAACTGACCAGTGACAGCACCAAGCTTGCCAAGGGCCTAGTTCCCTGAGCTCAGGCCTCTCCTTCTTGGGATGTAAGTGTAAGTGCCTTGGAACAGGAACAGAAGACCACGTCCCAGATTGGGGTCTGTTCATTGTTGGCTATGTGACATTGCACACAGAAATGGGTGTCTCTCTAGAAAACGGAGATAGTAATAGTGGGGGGGGGCTATTATGATGCTCAGCATGGATAATGCAATAGTGTATAATATGTACTTAAATTCCTATATCAGGAATGCTGTACAATAAATCAAACACAATATGGATGAATTACAGTATAGAATTTATTAAGAAACACATAGGTAAGACTCCTGAAACTACAAAGACAACTCAAAGTGATCCTGAAAGAAGAAAGCCTGATACAAGAACCATAAGTATATTAATAAAGAAAATATGATTATGAGATTCACAGAACCCTATGAAAAAGTTATGAGAATTGGTTTTCCTAAGTTACTTAGAGGGATCTGGTGATCCTGGCTTCAGAGTCAAAGCCAAGATCGTAACTCCTTATTGAAGATGCACGAAGCTGGCACATGACCCACATACATGGGAGGAAGAAAGACTGGGGGAGTCCTCTGCACTCCAGCAAACTGGTTCTTTAAAATAGGCCGATGAGTCACAGAACTTGTGGTCCAGCGTGCTGCTTCTCAGCAGTCTAGAAGGTTCATTAGTTTCCATAATGGCAAGTCAGTTCACAGAGGTGTTTGTGCAGACGGTGGTTCTCTGGCGAGGTGATCAGCAGCAGCAAGGCTGGCAGCAGCTGGACCCGCCATACGCTATGCAGCCAGGCACGCAGCAGCACGTGGGGTGGTAGCAGGTTCTCTGGACGTACACGGGACAACAGCAAACTGGCTGGCAGCAGGGTGTGCCGCAGCAACTGGGACGGCAGCAAGGCTGGCAGCAGCTGGACCCACAGCAGCTGGGCCGGCAGCAGCTGCTCACACAGCAAGGGCGGCAGCAAGGCTGGCAGCAGCTGGACACGCAGCAAGGGCGGCAGCAAGGGCGGCAGCAGGTGGTCCTGCAGCAGGTGGTCTGACAGCAGGTTGGGCGGCAGCAAGGCTGGCAGCAGCCTGACCCACAACAGCTGGACCCACAGCAGGTGGGCTGGCAACAAGGGGAGCAGCACATGGTGTCAGGGGTGGAGGGTGAGTGTCCGTTCAGAGGTGAGTTTCTCAGATTCTGATGACTCCTTCTGTTCTGGGGCTTTTTTATACCCTGGACCCCAATATTGGGACCAATAAGCAGGACTTTCCTTGTTGTTGTTTTTGTAATTACTGGGAAATTGTTAAGTAGGAATTTGCTCCTTTTATGTTTTAGTCTTCTGTAAATTACTGTTTGATCTTTTTCTTAATTGGAAAAACTACTTAACAACCTTTTCCAGAAATGAGAAAGTCAGGAATCATCCCCAGCAACATTTCTGGTCATGTGACATCATCTGCTCATGTGATAGCTCCCAACGCTTTGAGGAAGGTCAGAACAGTGATCCTTTCTCAGCTTTGCTCCTTCGGCCATGTTTAGAGTGGGAAGTGCCCTGAGAGGTCAGCGCTTGACGGGTTCTGTGGGAATGAAACCCCGCTTGAGTCCAAGTCTGATACCTCAGAAAGGCTGGTTCAAGACTCTAGCACATGTCTATCTGTGGCAACCTCCTCAAAAGGTGTTTCCCAGTTCCATCAGAGACACTTGGCTAGCGGACAGTTGGCACATCAGCTCCAAAACAGGAGGATGGAGGCAGAAGCAGTGCACTGGGTTTCAGAGCATCTCCATTAATGTTCTGTCTCTATTTTCTAGCTGGGTCAGTATCTCAGGTGAGACATTCCCAACTTGCACATAGTACTTTGTTTTGTAAATTGAGGCAAACAGGTGCAATAAGATGATAGCCAACGTATATTTTATCGTGCAAATTTATATATTTCAACAAACAGAAAATTGTCAGCCATAATCTAAAAAAAATTTTTTTATTGTTAGTTTCAGCTGTACAGAACAATAGTTATTCTTTTCACCCTTCGCCCAGAAACAACACCCCTCCCCCATCTACTGCCCTCCAACCCCCAATATCATACTTGTCTATTACAATTCCATTGACTCCATTCCCGCACTCCCCCCTTTTCTCAGTCTTCTAGGTACATATGAGGTGTGATCAAAACATACAGTGAATGTTTAACTTAAAAAAAATTATTACAGTAAAAGACAAATTGCCATTAATCCCTCTCAAAATACTTCCCCTTGCATTGAACACACTTATCCCATCATTCTTGCCACTTTCTGAAGCAGTTCTGGAAGTCCTCTTTCGTGAGTGTCTTTAGTTGCACTGTCATGGCTGCCTCCATGTCCTGAATTATTTCAAAACATTTACCTTTCATGGTTATTTTGACTTTGGGGAAGAGCCAGAAGTCGCGTGGTGCCAGATTCAATGAATAAGGTGGATGAGGACACACTGTAATGTTCTTATTTGACAGAAATTGCCATACCAGAAGCGATGAGTGACACTGAGCCTTTCTGTTGTGATCATAAAAACGGTGAATGCTGCTGTCTAGTGCCATCCAACAGAAAGGCAGGGATCTTCAATATGGGAAGTGGTGCATCAAACCTTAGAAACAGAGTGTGACAAGTTTCAACTTGTTCAGTGCAGTCAATCAAGTGTGAGCTACGGTTGAGAGAAGGTGTATTTTAAAGTGTGCCATAAATCATGGATCACGAACAATGCATTAATATGAAATGGACAAACGGTTTCAAGCTTTCGTCTTCCATCATGACAACTCTCTGTGTTGGGTTTCCAGTCTTTTGTTCACGTCTTTAATCCATTTTGAGTTCATTTTTTATGGTGTATAACAGTGGTCCCATTACATTCTTTTGCACATTTTCCCAAAAAATATTTATTGAAAAGACTGTCCTTTCCCCATGTGTATTCTTGGTTCCTTTGTCATAAATATTTTGACCGTAAATGTGTGGGTTTATTTTCAGCTCTGTTTTCTGTTCCCATGTTTTATGTGTCTGTTTTTATGCTAATACCATACTGTTTTGATTAGTAGAGGTTTGTAATCTAGTTTGAAACCAGGGAGCATGATGCCTCTAGCTTTGCTCTTGTTTCTCTGCTTTGGGGATTTTTGTGGTTCCATATAAAGTTTAGCATTGTTTTTATTTTTTCTATTTCTGTGAAAAATACTATTGGAATTTTAATAGGGATGATAGTGAATCTTAGATTGCTTTGAGTAGTATGGACATTTTAGCAATATTAATTCTTCCAATCCATGTGCATGGGATATCTTTCCATTATTTGCATCTTCTTTAATTTCTTTCATATATATATTTTAGTTTTCAGTGTGCAGGTCTTTCACCTTCTTGGTTATATTTACTTCTACATATTTTTTAATATAATTATCATCTTAATTTCTCTTTCTGGTAGTTGATTATTAGTGTATAAAAATGCAACAGGCCCTTCGAGCGTCTGAGTCTTGGTCTTTCTTGGGTCCCCCTCCAAGTTGTTTGGAGTGTACTTTTTCTCCAAATAATGATTCCCTTGGCCTTGGCCCTTGCTCTTGGCCCTTTGGGCCTTTGAGCTTCTATTTTTTTGAAGTGTACTTTTTCTTCTAGTAAACTTTTCTTCCACTACTTTAAAAAGAAAAAGAATGCAACAGATTTCTGTATATTGAATTTATAGACTGCGACTTCTTTTTTTTTTTTTTCAAGATTTTTATTGGGGAATTGGGGGGATGGGAACAGTGCTGGGGAATTGGGGAAAGGGGAACAGACAAGTTGCTGTCGTTTTGTTCTTCAATTTTA